AGGCGTTTTTTCTCCATCCGTGGTCTAGCAAAAGTGCTACACTCTGATCGAGGTACAAACTTTATAGGTGCCTGCAGGGAACTGGGAATCGACACAAATGACTCCGAACTGACTAAATACCTCTCAGACAATGGATGTACTTGGATATTCAATCCCCCACACTCGTCTCATATGGGTGGTTCTTGGGAGAGACTCATTGGGGTTGCCAGACGTATCCTAGATGCTATGCTGTTTCAGATGGGCTCCACTCGTCTCACACATGCGGTCTTGAGCACTCTTATGTCTGAAGATATGGCAATAATCAATGCGAGACCCCTAGTGTCAGTGTTAACCGACCCTGACATGCCTGCCATTCTCACACCCTCAATGTTACTGACACAAAAGACCAGCGCTACCTCAGCCCCTTCTGTATACTTCCACATGAACGACCTTCATGGAAAACAGTGGAAGCAAGTCCAGTGTCTCGCTGGCACCTTTTGGAAAAGGTGGAGACAGGAGTACCTGACAACACTGCAGAGACGCAGAAAATGGACAGCAGAAAAGCCAAATGTAAAAGTGGGAGATGTTGTCTTATTGAAAGACAGTCAGGCGCACAGAAATGACTGGCCAGTTGGACTTGTGGTCAAAACCTTTCCCAGTACTGACAAAAAGGTCAGGAAAGTAGAACTAAAAGTTGTCAAGCAAGGGACTGCTAAGGTGTTTCTGAGACCAATCTCAGAGATTGTTGTTCTTCTTTCTGAAGCATCCTAGAGGCAAAATATTTTTTTAAAGGAGAATTATTTGTTTCTTGATACATGTTTTATTTCAAAGTGGCAAAATGTCATTATACCAGACGGGGAGTGTGCTGGCATCCTGTTAGAGGTAACAGGTTATTTTATTATAGTGGTTAAGATTGACTTTCATTGTGTCCCATGGTGTTTATCACCGCCTAGTGGAGCTTTCTGGTACTTAGAAAGACAGAACGAAAATAGGAAGTAGAGTAGAGTAGTCATTCTGCACGCAGACAAGCAGCTAAAAACAACGCTACGGTGCAGTTCTTTCAGTGCAGCTATTTCTTGTCACGCTTCAGTCTCTGAAAATATTTGTAAATTCAATTCAAGCATATTGCTAGTGATGATAATATTGTTATTGATACAATTGCTTACTTATCAATGTTAGTTGGTTACATTTACTCACGCAAATTGCCTTGCCTTTCATGAATGCCGTCAGCGGTATTAGTTTGCTTGTGCGTCATGTAAGCAAATTGTAAAACATACTATAGATTTGTTACTGTTTCTAGTGTAATATGCATTGTTATTGAACAGAGGTGTTTGCACATTATTAGAGTAATGAAAGGAGTTGGCTAGTTGATACTCAAATGTGTCACGCCCTGACGTATGGAACTCTTGTTTGTGGAGTCAGGGTGTGTGAATCTATGTTTTCTATGTTTAGGATCTAGAGTTGTGTTTCTATGTTTGGCCGGGTGTGATTCCCAATCAAAGACAGCTGTCGCTCGTTGTCTCTGATTGGGGATCATACTTAGGTAGCCCAGTTGCCTACTATGTTTGTGGGATCTTGTTCCGTGTTAGGCTTGTATTGTGTATAGCCTTGGACTTCACGTTGTTTAGTATTAAATAAACATGTTCGCATACCACGCTGCACCTTGGTCTGACCCGTCTCTCAAAGTCCGTGACAATATGGTAATTATCTATCTGGTTTGGCGTCATGCCAGATAGATGGTACCTTGGCACGTGCTTTGTATTTATGCAACTTCAACTTGAAATGTATAATGTACAGATACTTTAGTATTCAATTCCCACTGACATACTGTATCTTCTTTTCTGTATTTTGCAGTTTCACAACATAAACATTTTCAATATATTTGTTCAAGAAAAGTCACGCCTTGGAAGTTTTATTGAAGACTCAGTTGTTAGCTATCTGTCTAGTTTTACATGGGAATGCAATTCCAGGGCAAAATAAAGCCCATTCCTCAGCTTTTTACCAAAACAGAGGTGGTTGACAGCTTTCTTATTGTTTCAATTAAGGATTCCAGCTTTAAGAAATTATTTAAAAATCTGGTATTATTAGTCCTTATGTGACACTTACCTGATCACATATGCAGTCACTAAAGCCTGAGTGATTCTGTTGAGGGTTCCAACCTTGAAGCTGCTTATGACAATAATTCTCAGCGTTTAATATTCCCCAAAAAAACATTAACATAGGGACGCACATCCCCTCTCTTTCATCATGTTTGCTGCCTCATAGGATTCAAAATGCTATTTTGTATCCTTAGACAAAACCAGATAGCCCACCCATTTAAAAAAAATATATATTTCCTGCATGTCACACGTTTTGGAACAAATGAACCTTCAGCTGAACTCTCACTCCCACTGGAAGTTCCCAGTGCCTTTATCTTCCGCATACATTTTGATTGTAGCGGTTCAGTTTTATTTCCCAATAATTAAACTGGCTGCTATGAGCAGACTAAATTTTTCATATGACCTACCATCTAATCAAATGAAATCACATTTTATTTGTCACATGCGCCGAATACAACAGGTGTGTAGACCTTACAGTGAAATGCTTACTTACAAGCGCTTAACGAACAATGCAGTTTTAAGAAATACCCAAAAAAAATAATTAAAGAGCAGCAGTAAAATAACAATAGTAAAATAACAATAGCGAGGCTATATACAGGGGGTACTGGCACAGAGTCAATGTGCAGGGGCACCGGTTAGTCAAGGTAATTGAGGTAATATGTACATGAATGTAGAGTTATTAAAGTGACTATGCAAATAGATAATAAACAGAGAGTAGCAGCACCGTAAGGGTGGGGGGGTGGTTGGGGGGGGTAGAAGCTGTTAAGAAGCCTCTTAGACCTAGACTTGGAGCTCCAGTACCGCTTGCCGTGCAGTAGCAGAGAGGACAGTCTATGACTAGGGTGGCTGGAGTCTTTGACCATTGTTTGTGCCTTCCTCTGATACCACCTGGTATAGAGGTCCTGGATGGCAGGTAGCTTGGCCCCAGTTATGTACTGGGCCGTACGCACTACCCTCTGTAGTGCCCTGCGGTTAGAGGCCGAGCAGTTGCCATACCAGGCAGTGATGCAACCAGTCAGGATGCTCTCGATGGTGCAGCTGTAGAACCTTTTGACGATCTGAGGACCAATGCCAAATCTTTTCAGTCTCCTGAGCGGGAATAGGTTTTGTCGTGCCCTCTTCACGACTGTCTTGGTGTGCTTGGACCATGTTAGTTTGTTGGTGATGTGGACACCAAGGAACTTGAAGCTCTTAACCTGCTCCACTACAGCCCTGTCAATGAGAATGGGGGCATGCTCGGTCCTCTTCTTTTTCCTGTAGTCCACAATCATCTCCTTTGTCTTGATCACGTTGAGGGAGAGGTTGTTATCCTGGCACCACACGGCCAGGTCTCTGACCTTCTCCCTATAGGCTGTCTCGTCGTTGTCCGTGATCAGGCCTACCACTGTTGTGTCATCTGCAAACTTAATGATTGTGTTGGAGTCGTGCCTGGCCATGCAGTCATGAGTGAACAGGAAGTACAGGAGGGGACTGAGCAATCACCCCTGAGGGGTCCCTGTGTTGAGGATCAGCGTGGCAGATGTGTTGTTACCTATCCTTACCACCTGGGGGCGGCCCGTCAGGAAGTCCAGGATCCAGTTGCAGAGGGAGGTGTTTAGTCCCAGGGTCCTTAGCTTGGTGATGAGCTTTGAGGGCACTATGGTGTTGAACGCTGAGCTGTAGTCAATGAATAGCATTCTCACATAGGTGTTCCTTTTGTCCAGGTGTGAAAGGGCAGTGTGGAGTGCAATAGAGATTGCATCATCTATGGATCTGTTGGGGCGGTATGCAAATTGAAGTGGGTCTAGGGTTTCTGGGATAATGGTGTTGATGTGAGCCATGACCAGCCTTTCAAAGCACTTAATGGCTACAGACGTGAGTGCTATGGGTCGGTAGTCATTTAGGCAGGTTATCTTAGTGTTCTTGGGCACAGAGACTATGGTGGTCTGCTTGAAACATGTTGGTATTACAGACTCAGACAGGGAGAGGTTGAAAATGTCAGTAAAGACACTTGCCAGTTGGTCAGCACATGCTCAGAGTACACGTCCTGGAATCTATGATGGACCTGTCATTCTTTGAATCAGACTTTTACTGCACTGTGAACTCAATTGCATGGCAAATGGCAAATTAGTTCACAGTGCAGTAAAAGTCTGATTCAAAGAATGACAGGTCCATCATAGATTTGGTATAGGCAATAACCAATTTGCTTTGGACAAACTGTGGGTGGTAGTAGGTGAATAGGCTTACTGCAAACCAATCTGTTACATACAAATGACAATTTACTGAATTACATCTGTCTAGTTAGTAGACATACAATGTGCATGGTTGCTACATCACATATGCACGCATCTTATTGTCCAGGTTCTTAGAATCAAATAATATTGGTCTCTTGATGACCAAATCAGAATTGACACAAGGGGCAAGTGTACCACCTCTACCAAGATATTTGAACCTTATGGTACTTGTGGTAGAGTGATGATCACACATAATTGCAATTTGCAAGGTCAAGCCCCACTCAAGTTACTCCACCTCAACTGCAACCCTGGTGGTAGTGGTGGGATAATTCCCCCAGTCTCTAAGGCTGGCTTTTGAATGGGGAATTTATTGAGAGAAAGGGAATAGCCTTGGGTTCATGTTCCGGGTCAGATGTATAGTGTCAGTGACAAAACTCATGTGTTATACCTCAACCAAGACATATTGACCTTTTTGGCACAGATAGGGCAATCCCCACTCTGGCAGCTCCCCCGCAATCACTAAAACTCCCAAATTACCCAGGATAATGATAATACTACACAATCATAAGCATATTTCACGACATAGCAAGGAAACAATAAAACGGTTTAATTATAAAAGACAGAAGACATTCAACCACACTGGCCTTCTGGTGTAAAAGTTAGTGCAGTGTCAACAGACAAAACATTGTTTAGAAGACACAAGACACAATATTTAACTCAATATCAATGATTTATTTGGGGTTTCTTACAACAACATTTTACTCCTCTTCGACTAACACAAATGCATGTGCTATAGGGCTATGGGTATGACTTCATGAGGTCGGGAGAAGAAAAATACCAGCTGTTGATTCCTTCCCTCTATCCCATGAGATAAGGAAGTATCCCAGCCAACATTTCACAGAACGGCCCACACACCATAACTTGCAGGAAACCACTAACTGTGATTTACATTCCCACACAGGGAGTGAGAGGAAAAGGTTCCTCATATTTCACCTCCCCATTGGGGTGCTTGATAGTTTTACGCAATAGCTAACAAGGCACTATTGCATGCCAGACTTCTCTAGTCTATGGTTGATTGTGGTGAAAGATGTAGACAGCAAAGAAAGGACACCCACCCAATCAACATTGAAACAGATCATATATTGTTTGCAAACGTTAAACCTGGTTGTCTGAATTCAATATATTATTCAGTCAATCAAAAACAGTGAAAGGTAAAAACAGCTTTTTAGAACATTTAGAAAAATAATTATTGTATATAATTGGCACTAACAGGAAATGTCTTGAGTTTTTGTTTCCATATAGAACATTTAGATTTTTTTGTTATTATGTTACACATGGTGCATAGTGGCTAAATAAAAGATCAAGCTTGATTATTTATCTGAGGACCAGCTTAATTTGAATTCCTCTGCACTGTCATTGCAGCATTCAGAGGAACATTTTCAAGATCTTGGGTTTGAAGATCTGCATCTTGCTGCTGTCCATATTCTTCACCATTTCCTGGGACGCAAGAATCCCCTGGTGAGCCTCATCGAACAGCTCCTTCCCGATCTCCGCCTGAACCCTGTCTCGCCAGGCACTTAGCTTAAGTCTCCCCTCAAACACATCCAAGCCAGAACCGACGGGCTGTAGGATACCAAAACGCAGAAACACACTCAGAAGGCCCACAATATAACAATGTATTACAACAAAATTGATTGTTAGGTTTGTGATGATTCACACTTGTTTCATATATCAATAATTGTTCAAGTTAACACTTGTGGAAGCAAGCAGCTCCAAACCAAAGACACAGATTTAGTAATTGATTTGGACATTTCACTGCAGGTAGCTTAGTGGTTTAGAGTGTTTGGCCAGTAACCGAAAGGTCGCTGGTTCGAATCCCCGAGACGACTAGGTGAAAAATCTGTCGATGTTACCCTGAGCAAGGAACTTAACCCTAATTTCGCCTGTAAATTGCTCTGGATAAGAGTGTCTGGTAAATGACAAAAAATGTAAATGTAAAACGTACTTCACTACAGTGAAGTAGGAAGAGACAAGATCTGCAAAACATTCACCTGCATGATCTCAACAATGGCCACCAGGTCGGCCAAGGAAATCTGCTCTCCTGCGATAAAGGGCTTGTCCCCAATGAACTTTTCTTCAATGAGTTTCAGAGAGCCTTCCAGGTCCTCCAGGGCTCCATCCATCTTGTCCTTGGGGACCTCCACACCCATGATCTTTGGAATCAAGAGCTACAATACAGACAGCCTTTTATAATGTAAAACACAAACGTGTTGAATTCCGAAACTTGATATTATACCATGAAAAACGAGAAGGCATGAGATCAACCTCATCTCTCAAAATCTAACATAACAGGTATTTGGACACAGAGGTGCAAAACAGCTCTGTATCAAATTCTTATAACAATGCTTGTAACAATGTAGGAGAAGCAGAGTGGGATATATTTTGTTTCGTCAGTGAAACTCGAAGGGCCAGTCACCTGCTTTGGCAATGTGTACGCTGTAGTCTATTTCTTCACAAACTACTGCCCGCGCACACACATCTAACATGGAAAACTGGACGCATTTACCTGTTTATAATAATACCATTATTATTACCTAAATCTTCTTGGTGTGTGACTTTATTTGACCACAGGAAAAAATGATGTTTATTCACTACTGAGTAAACCTTGCTATCTGGGTTGGACTGAACAAAGTCCAAAGTTCATCAAAGTACAATGTGAAAACAATTCTAAATCCGACCATGTAGTAGCATTACTTACCCTGAGCCAAAACATCTTTGAGCCATGCATACGTATGCCCATATGCTGCCAGGACAGGTATTCATTGACACGGGCACGCTTCTGCAGGTCGGCTGGATACCAGTGGTCTGAGGTCTTGTACTTCTCTGCCAGATACTTCATGATGGCAATGCTGCAGAGATGATTGGCCAGTTTAGTCATTGAAACTCTTTGCCTCGCCACTTTATTAGAATCATTACTAAAATCAGAATGAGGATATGTTTAGCTACTCTAGCGATCACAAAGGATTTGTTAAATAGTCTTATTACATTGCCTAATCAGATAAGGTAGAGATGGTTGATCTCAACTCAATGTTGTCATTCCCACCTTTCAGCCAAGCAGAACTCTCCATCTCGGATTGCAGGAGCTTTCCTCATCATGTTGATCTTCCCAAACTCTTCTCCATACTGCTCTCCTGAAATGTAGTGAATGACACAGAGATGCATGATCGACTTACTTCTGTAATAAGCCACCAACACGGAGTGTACAAACCATTAGGAACACCTTCCTAATATTAAGTTGCACCCCCTTTTGCCCTCAGAATAGACTCAATTTGTTGGGGCATGGACTCTACAAGGTGTCGAAAGCGTTCCACAGGGATGCTGGCCCATGTTGACTCCAATACTTCCCACAGTTGTGTCAAGTTGTCTGGATGTCCTTTGGGTGATGGACCATTCTTGATACACACAGGAAACTGTTGAGCATGAAAAACATAGCAGCGCAGTTCTTGACACAAACCGGTGCACCTGGCACCCACAACCATACCCTGTTCAAATGCACTTAAATATTTTTCTTGCCCATTCACCCTCCGAATGGCACACACACAATCCATGTCTCTGTTGTCTCAAGGCTTAAAAATCTAATTTTATTTGTCACATGCGCTGAATACCGTGAAATGCTTACTTACAAGCCCACAACCAACAATGCAGTTTTAAGAAAATATTTACTAAATAAACTAAAGTTTTTAAAAAGTCACACAATAAAATAACAATAATGAGGCTATATACAGGTACTGAGTCAATATGTGGGGGTACAGGTTAGTCAAGGTAATTGAGGTAATATGTACATACAGTGGGGAAAAAAAGTATTTAGTCAGCCACCAATTGTGCAAGTTCTCCCACTTAAAAAGATGAGAGAGGCCTGTAATATTCATCATAGGTACACGTCAACTATGACAGACAAATTGAGGAAAAAAAATCCAGAAAATCACATTGTAGGATTTTTAATGAATTTATTTGCAAATTATGGTGGAAAATAAGTATTTGGTCACCTATAAACAAGCAAGATTTCTGGCTCTCACAGACCTGTAACTTCTTCTTTAAGAGGCTCCTCTGTCCTCCACTCGTTACCTGTATTAATGGCACCTGTTTGAACTCGTTATCAATATAAAAGACACCTGTCCACAACCTCAAACAGTCACACTCCAAACTCCACTATGGCCAAGACCAAAGAGCTGTCAAAGGACACCAGAAACAAAATTGTAGACCTGCACCAGGCTGGGAAGACTGAATCTGCAATAGGTAAGCAGCTTGGTTTGAAGAAATCAACTGTGGGAGCAATTATTAGGAAATGGAAGACATACAAGACCACTGATAATCTCCCTCGATCTGGGGCTCCACGCAAGATCTCACCCCGTGGGATCAAAATGATCACAAGAATGGTGAGCAAAAATCCCAGAACCACACGGGGGGACCTAGTGAATGACCTGCAGAGAGCTGGGACCAAATTAACAAAGCATACCATCAGTAACACACTACGCCGCCAGGGACTCAAATCCTGCAGTGCCAGACGTGTCCCCCTGCTTAAGCCAGTACATGTCCAGGCCCGTCTGAAGTTTGCTAGAGTGCATTTGGATGATCCAGAAGAGGATTGGGAGAATGTCATATGGTCAGATGAAACCAAAATATAACTTTTTGGTAAAAACTCAACTCGTCGTGTTTGGAGGACAAAGAATGCTGAGTTGCATCCAAAGAACACCATACCTACTGTGAAGCATGGGGGTGGAAACATCATGCTTTGGGGCTGTTTTTCTGCAAAGGGACCAGGACGACTGATCCGTGTAAAGGAAAGAATGAATGGGGCCATGTATCGTGAGATTTTGAGTGAAAACCTCCTTCCATCAGCAAGGGCATTGAAGATGAAACGTGGCTGGGTCTTTCAGCATGACAATGATCCCAAACACACCGCCCGGGCAACGAAGGAGTGGCTTCGTAAGAAGCATTTCAAGGTCCTGGAGTGGCCTAGCCAGTCTCCAGATCTCAACCCCATAGAAAATCTTTGGAGGGAGTTGAAAGTCTGTGTTGCCCAGCGACAGCCCCAAAACATCACTGCTCTAGAGGAGATCTGCATGGAGGAATGGGCCAAAATACCAGCAACAGTGTGTGAAAACCTTGTGAAGACTTACAGAAAACGTTTGACCTGTGTCATTGCCAACAAAGGGTATATAACAAAGTATTGAGAAACTTTTGTTATTGACCAAATACTTATTTTCCACCATAATTTGCAAATAAATTCATTAAAAATCCTACAATGTGATTTTCTGGAATTTCTTTCCTCATTTTGTCTGTCATAGTTGACGTGTACCTATGATGAAAATTACAGGCCTCTCTCATCTTTTTAAGTGGGAGAACTTGCACAATTGGTGGCTGACTAAATACTTTTTTTCCCCACTGTATACACTACCAGTCAAACGTTTGGACAACTACTCATTCAAGGTTTTTATTTTATTTTTACATTGTAGAATAATAGTGAAGACATCAAAACTATGAAATAACACATATAGAATCATGTAGTAACCAAAAATGTGTTAAACAAATCAAAATATATTTTATATTTGGGTTTCTTCAAATAGCTACCCTTTGCCTTGATGAAAGCTTTGCACACTCTTGGCATTCTCTCAACCAGCTTCATGAGGTAGTCACCTGGAATGAATTTCAGTTAACAGGTGTGCCTTCTTAAAAGTTAATTTGTGGAATTTCTTTCCTTCTTAATGTGTTTGAGCCAATCAGCTGTGTTGTGACAAGGTATGGGGGAGTATACAGAAGATAGCCCTATTTGGTAAAAGACCAAGTCCATATTATGGCAAGAACAGCTCAAATAAGCAAAGAGAAACGACAGTCCATCATTACTTTAAGACATGAAGGTCAGTCAATATGGAACATTTCAAGAACTTTGAAAGTTTCTTCAAGTGCAGTCGCAATTATGAAACTGGCACTCATGAGGACCGCCACAGGAAAGGAAGACCCAGAGTTACCTCTGCTGCAGAGGATAAGTTCATAAGAGTTGCCAGCCTCAGAAATAGTAGCCCAAATAAATGCTTCACAGAGTTCAAGTAACAGACACATCTCAACATCAACTGTTCAGAGGGGACTGTATGATTCAGGCCTTCATGGTCAAATTGCTGCAAAGAAACCACTACTAAAGGACACAAATAATAAGAAGAGACCTGCTTGGGCCAAGAAACACGAGCAATGGACATTAGTCCAAATTTGAGATTTTTGGTTCCAACCGCCGTGTCTTTGAGAGACGCTGTGTGGGTGAACGGATGATCTCTCCATGTGTAGTTCCCACCGTAACGCATGGAGAAGGAGGTGTTATGGTGTGGGGGTGCTTTGCTGGTGACACTGTCTGTGATTTTATTTAGAATTCACCAGCATGGCTACCACAGCATTCTGCAGAGATACGCCATCCCATCTAGTTTGGGCTTAGTGGGACTATCATTTGTTTTTCAACAGGACAATGACCCAACACACCTCCAGGCTGTGTAAGGGCTCTTTGACCAAGAAGGAGAGTGATGAAGTGCTGAATCAGATGACCTGGCCTCCACAATCCCCCGACCTCAACCCAATTGGGATGGGTTGGGATGAGTCGGACCGCAGAGTGAAAGAAAAGCAGCCAACAAGTGCTCAGCATATGTGGGAAGCATTCCAGGTGAAGCTGGTTGAGAGACTGCCAAGAGTGTGCAAAGCAGTCATCAAGGCAAAGGGTAGCTATTTGAAGAATCTCAAATATAAAATAAATGTTTATTTGTTTAACAGTTTTTGGTTACTACATCATTCCATATGTGTTATTTCATAGTTTTGATGTCTTCTCTATTATTCTACAATGCAGAAAATAGTAAAAATAAAGAACAACCCTTAAATGAGTAGGTGTGTCCAAACTTTTGACTGGTACTGTAGGTATGGGTAAAGTGACTATGCATAGATAATAAACAGCTAGTAGCAGCAGTGCAAATAGTCCCGGTAGCCATTTGATTAATTGTTCAGCAGTCTTATGGCTTGGGGGTAGAAGCTGTATTGTGGAGTTGAGAAACCCAGGACAGGGTTAGGGTAGACTAGGCCTACAACAAACTAGGCTACTTGCATGCAAGCAAGACTAGAAGCATACCTGATTTAAACTTCCACCTCCAGAAAAACACCCCTTTTCAGGCTACTTCTGTAAATAAGACTAGAAGCATACCTGATTTAAACTTCCACCTCCAGAAAAACACCCCTTTTCAAGCTACTTCTGTAAATGAATTTTTACTGAGATTTAGATAACCTTCTATTATACGTGCAAAAAGGAATAAATCACCACTTTAACACAACACTTAAAGCACCCATTTTCATTTTTACACTGTTTAATTTTCTGCATATCTGAACAACTTATTTGTGTCCAGACTCCAAATAAAATACTAAACAGTGAAAATTATCGAATGCAGTAGGCTACACTAAAAGCACAGTCCCTAAAATAAAAACAATAACCTACCTTCCAAAAGCAAAACAGTTTTTAAATCAAAAGGAATGTTGTTTTTCTTGGCAAAGATATACACCGAGCGACAGGGCTGTGAGAAAAGGTCTAAATACATTTCTAAAGCCATCTTTAATGCAAAGCAAAGGAGAAAACAGTCCTCACGGTCGCGTTTTCCAAACCCCGACTGACTTCTAGAATTTATTAACTATATACCACGCCCCTTGGAGCGTGAGGAGAATGCCCCACACCTCTCACTGGAACTCGCGTGCAAGCCCACTTTCCAGAACGCATAGAAACGTATAGTGATAAAAATTGCGTAATTCAAATCTGGTATTGGAATAAGAATCAAGAGATCTTCAATCCAAGCTACATTTATTATATGCAAAATGTATGTATGATAAGTATGAAGGTTCGTATACGGGCTCACTGAAATACCTCGCAAGGCACTCAGATAACTAATCCATTGTTACAGGTTCTTCTTCAAATACTCTGACAGTTTTTAGTTCCCGCTCTCTACTGGCCAATCAGAGTAGAGACTGAGCGTGGTTTAGACTTACTCAACCTATCCGTTGGCGCATCCCTGTTGCCAGGCATACATTTTTATCATAACAACCTGTGGAGTCAGCACCCAAAAGACACCACTGTACTGTGAGTTCATAAGTTCAAGGACGGTTCACAGACAACAGTTCACAGACAACAAAGAGGCAGTGTTCGTATCTGTAAGAAATACAAGTCTTTCCTGTCTTTCCCCCTAACGTTCCTTACATGAATCACAGCCTGTTATGTGAAACAATTTATATCAGTATAGTACAAACCTATGCTTATCATTAATGCATTCCTTCTAAGCCATTCATCACACACAGATCCAATCATGAGAAAACAGAACGCCACAATAGTGTGTGACTAGAATTGGGTAACAATGCAAATAGTCCCGGTAGCCATTTGATTAATTGTTCAGCAGTCTTATGGCTTGGGGGTAGAAGCTGTATTGTGGAGTTGAGAAACCCAGGACAGGGTTAGGGTAGACTAGGCCTACAACAAACTAGGCTACTTGCATGCAAGCAAGACTAGAAGCATACCTGATTTAAACTTCCACCTCCAGAAAAACACCCCTTTTCAGGCTACTTCTGTAAATAAGACTAGAAGCATACCTGATTTAAACTTCCACCTCCAGAAAAACTCCCCTTTTCAAGCTACTTCTGTAAATGAATTTTTACTGAGATTTAGATAACCTTCTATTATACGTGCAAAAAGGAATAAATCACCACTTTAACACAACACTTAAAGCACCCATTTTCATTTTTACACTGTTTAATTTTCTGCATATCTGAACAACTTATTTGTGTCCAGACTCCAAATAAAATACTAAACAGTGAAAATTATCGAATGCAGTAGGCTACACTAAAAGCACAGTCCCTAAAATAAAAACAATAACCTACCTTCCAAAAGCGAAACCGTTTTTAAATCAAAAGGAATGTTGTTTTTCTTGGCAAATATATACACCGAGCGACAGGGCTGTGAGAAAAGGTCTAAATACATTTCTAAAGCCATCTTTAATGCAAAGCAAAGGAGAAAACAGTCCTCACGGTCGCGTTTCCCAAACCCCGACTGACTTCTAGAATTTATTAACTATATACCACGCCCCTTGGAGCGTGAGGAGAATGCCCCACACCTCTCACTGGAACTCGCGTGCAAGCCCACTTTCCAGAACGCATAGAAACGTATAGTGTGTGACTAGAATTGGGTAACAATGCACACAGGAAAGGGGTTGAGTGTGTTAGAGTATGTGCGTGTATGTTTATCCCACATCTGTTGCAAGGGGTAAGGATGTTAGGGAGAATATAGGATGAACCACAATAATTGTTTTCTAAAATAATAATTGCTTGTCAAAAATGTAATGTAATACAATGGCAATCCGGGTTATAGGTTAAAATCCTACGCATGAACTGCCGACTTTATTACGCATATTAATGGATAATCATGGAAAATAAGATATGCAAGATATTTGAATGGATATATATTTTTAAATAGCTATATGTATGTATGTATGTATGTATGTATGTATGTATGTATATATGTATGTATGTATGTATATATATATATATATATATATATTTATTTATTTATATTTATATATTTATATTTATATATTGAGGTGAGAGCATTGGAAATGCTTTTGGCGGTTGACCTGCCAACTCAAGCAGGCCAACGCAAGCAATTCATCAAGACTCTATTATTATGGTGGGAGATTATAATACCATTTTAAATAGCTCAATGGACTGTAAAGGAAGGCACTTAACCCTAATTGCTCATGTAAGTCGCTCTGGATAAGAGAGTCTGCTAAATGACAAAAAAAAATGTGTTTTGGGTCATTGTCATGCTGGAATACCAATCCACGACCCATTTTCAATGCCCTGGCTGAGGGAAGGAGGTTCTCACCCAAGATTTGACGGTACATGGCCCCGTCCATCGTCCCTTTGATGCGGTGAAGTTGTCCTGTCCCCTTAGCAGAAAAACACCCCCAAAGCATAATGTTTCCACCTCCATGTTTGATGGTGGGGATGGTGTTCTTGGGATTATAGGCAGCATTCCTCCTCCTCCAAACACGGCGAGTTGAGTTGATGCCACAGAGCTCAATTTTGGTCTCATCTGACCACAACACTTTCACCCAGTTCTCCTCTGAATCATTCAGATGTTCATTGGCAAACTTCAGACGGGCATGTATATGTGCTTTCTTGAGCAGGGGGACCTTGCGGGCGCTGCAGGATTTCAGTCCTTCATGGCATAGTGTGTTACCAATGGTCTCAGCTGCCTTGAGATCATTGACAAAATCCTCCCATGTAGTTCTGGGCTGATTCCTCACCGTTCTCATGATCATTGCAACTCCACGAGGTGAGATCTTGCATGGAGCCCCAGGCCGAAGGAGATTGACAGTTCTTTTTTGTTTCTTCCATTTGCGAATAATCGCACCAACTGTTGTCACCTTCTCACCAAGCTGCTTGGCGATGGTCTTGTAGCCCATTCCAGCCTTGTGTAGGTCTACAATCTTGTCCCTGACATCCATGGAGAGCTCTTTGGTCTTGGCCATGGTGGAGAGTTTGGAATCTGATTGATTGCTTCTGTGGACAGGTGTCTTTTATACAGGTAACATTTTACATTACATTACATTTTAGTCATTTAGCAGACGCTCTTATCCAGAGCGACTTACAGTTAGTGAGTGCATACATTATTTTTTTCATACTGGCCACCCGTGGGAATCAAACCCACAACCCTGGCATTGCAAACGCCATGCTCTACCAACTGAGCTACATCCCTGCCGGCCATTCCCTCCCCTACCCTGGACGACGCTGGGCCAATTGTGTGCCGCCCCATGGGTAGCTCAGGTAATAAACTGAGATTAGGAGCACTCCCTTTAAGAGTGTACTCCTAATCTCAGCTTGTTACCTGTATAAAAGACAGCTGGGAGCCAGAAATCTTTCTGATTGAGAGGGGGTCAAATACTTATTTCCCTCATTAAAATGCAAATCAATTTATAAAATCTTTCTGGATTTATTTGTTGTTATTCTGTCTCTCACTGTTCAAATAAACCTACCATTATAATTATAGACTGATCATTTCTTTGTCAGTGGGCAAACGCAAAAAATCAGTGGGGGATCAAATACTTTTTTCCCTCACTGTACATTACTCTTACTGAATTTCCACATGGGCGAGGATATTGGAAATTTAATCAAAGCCTATTGGAAGATAACTTGTTTTTAACTAGGACAGAGGAATTTATAACTGATTTTCTTCCGACATAACATAGGTACAGCAAATGTCCTTATTGTATGGGACACCTTTAAATGTGCCTTTAGAGGCCATGCAATTCAGTACTCATCTCGAAATCAAAAGCAATTTAGGTCAAAAGAGTCCACACTAACAAAGGAAATAGAAGGTCTAACAGAACAGATAAATAGCAATAAAAACTGTAACATAGAGGCTCAGAATAAATTAGAGGAAAAACAAAAAGAAATGGAGAAACTTATTCAAGAAAGATCAAGTGTAATATATTATACAAATAAAGCAAACTGGATGGAATATGGGGAAAAATGCACCAAATTATTTTTAAATCTTCAACATAGGAATGCTACCAAAAAGAATTTACTGAAACTGGTTACAAATGACGGAGTCACCCATGATTCACCAAATGATATTTTGAAGGAGGAAACAAAGTACTTTAAGCTTATGTTTTCGTTTCAGTCGCCTCCATCTCCTCTAACTGAAGCAAATTGTAGAGATTTTTTTTCTATTGATAATGTAAAATTAACAGCCATACAGAAAGACTCATGTGAAGGTGAAATTACAGAGGAGGAACTTCTGGATGCAATTAAAGACTTTAAGTCCGGGAAAACTCCAGGGTTGGATGGCATACCAGTCGAGGTACAGTGGGGAAAAAAGGTATTTAGTCAGCCACCAATTGTGCAAGTTCTCCCACTTAAAAAGATGAGAGAGGCCTGTAATTTTCATCATAGGTACACGTCAACTATGACAGACAAAATGAGAAAAGAAAATCCAGAAAATCACATTGTAGGATTTTTAATGAATTTATTTGCAAATTATGGTGGAAAATAAGTATTTGGTCAATAACAAAAGTTTCTCAATACTTTGTTATATACCCTTTGTTGGCAATGACACAGGTCAAACGTTTTCTGTAAGTCTTCACAAGGTTTTCACACACTGTTGCTGGTATTTTGGCCCATTCCTCCATGCAGATCTCCTCTAGAGCAGTGATGTTTTGGGGCTGTCGCTGGGCAACACGGACTTTCAACTCCCTCCAAAGATTTTCTATGGGGTTGAGATCTGGAGACTGGCTAGGCCACTCCAGGACCTTGAAATGCTTCTTACGAAGCCACTCCTTCGTTGCCCGGGCGGTGTGTTTGGGATCATTGTCATGCTGAAAGACCCAGCCACGTTTCATCTTCAATGCCCTTGCTGATGGAAGGAGGTTTTCACTCAAAATCTCACGATACATGGCCCCATTCATTCTTTCCTTTACACGGATCAGTCGTCCTGGTCCCTTTGCAGAAAAACAGCCCCAAAGCATGATGTTTCCACCCCCATGCTTCACAGTAGGTATGGTGTTCTTTGGATGCAACTCAGCATTCTTTGTCCTCCAAACACGACGAGTTGAGTTTTTACCAAAAAGTTATATTTTGGTTTCATCTGACCATATGACATTCTCCCAATCCTCTTCTGGATCATCCAAATGCACTCTAACAAACTTCAGACGGGCCTGGACATGTACTGGCTTAAGCAGGGGGACACGTCTGGCACTGCAGGATCTGAGTCCCTG